ACCCATTTATGTGGTGTGGAGGAAGAACAAATTAAAAGGAAAAAGGAAAAAAAATATTGTGTTCCTAGTACATCAAAATACTGTCCTATCAGACACACACAGAGAAAATCTCCCAATAATTTTCAAGGTCAAAATGAAGAAATTTCTGGCCAAGCTTCTCTTCTGAGTAATATATATGTGTGTGTGTGTGTGTATAAACATAAGCCCAGGCACGCACGCGCAGGCGTGTACACACACACACACACACACACACACACACATACACTACCGCCTTTTTGCAAGAGGGAAGCATAGTAGCCTGTACTTTGTTGTTTCAATAATTAATCAGTACACGAACAAATCAGATGCTTTTTCTGCAGATCAGAGAAACTGCCCCATCATCAAAATATTTTCAGTCACCCCATTATTAAATCTATATGGTGCTAATAGTATTGAAAAGAGAGGAAGCCATCGAGCCACACATTTGTTCCCTGAAAGCATTCCAGTCACTGTGGTTCTGAGGCTGCGCCTTCGGATGAGAGCTTAGCTGCAAATCTCTACATAGAGAAAGGGGGAGAGTTTAGGGCACATTTATTTATACTCTTCAGAAATACTTTCAAAACATGCAAGGCAAAACATCACCAAAATTACTGCTGAGTACTTCACCATTATGCATTCTTTGTTGACAATGGGGCCACTGGTGTGTGTGTGTGTGTGTGTGTGTGTGTGTGTGTGTGTGTGTGAGTGAGAGAGAGAGAGAGAGAGAGAGAGAGAGAGAGAGAGAGAGAATCATCCGAGTATGAGGGGAGGGAGCGGGTTGGGGGAGGGGCGTTATTAGTCAGCAGCAGCACCAGATAGACCATTTAAGGCTGCCAATCCATTCTGAATGAACGTGGGTTCAGGAATAAAGTGCAGGCAGAACCAATCTGCCCTGAAGAAAAGAAAAGCATAAAATATTGCACAAAGAAAGGAGAATTTCCAGGGTGGCTTTAATAGCAACCCAAACTGGCAGGTGCATGAAGCAAACTATTAGCTGTGCATTCAGGTTTTAGAGAAATATTATTGTTTTTTGGGTTTTTTTTTTCACTTTCCCATACAAAGCAATACTCACAGATGTAAATAATGCTGATTTATGCCTTGCGGTAAACACGACGGCATACACTACTTTACTACTTCCTTTTTAAATGTTACCTCTATATGCATATTGCTGACATTATATAAAATATGCTTAAATATAAGTGATTGTTACCTTTAGTTGAAATGGAACCTAAAATGTAGTCATATTATCCTTACTCAGCATTTCAGGTTTTTCCATATGATCATCTTTTAAATAAAAACACTGAAATATTAGTGAGGGCTAATCAGCACCTAGACCTCATGACAAAATATCTGGACCCCATAACACAAAAGGACAATTAGGTTAGCAAACACTTCGAGATGTGCTCCATATCCACCTTGGCTTCTACACTTTCAAGGCGCAGTGCCTATGATGTTAAGTTCACTCGTAACCAGTAAAAATAAGCCAAACCAAATAAGAGGGAAATATTCCGACAGAAACTGTATGTAAGAAAGAATTCTGGAAATATATGTAAAATCTTATGATTTTAAAATAGCAGCCCTATGAAGACAAAGATGTTTGCTGCTACTGAATCTTTATCAGAAAATCTATCAAAATTCATCATTCTTGCTGTTGATGATGGTCTCATTTTAAACCAAACAAAGCAAAAATTAGAAACCATATTTATCCACAGTGAAAATTATTATCAAAAATAATCTTTATTTTTAAATAATATCCAAAATAACAAAGAGCAGTTTGGTTCGAATCTTCTTTGGATTTTATTAGAAGCCTCTTTTCCTAACTCATAGGGGGGAAAAAAAGACAAATGGAAATATAATTGCTAATCAAACTCCTCTATATGAACAGTTAGGTTGCAATTGTATTTACTCTGTTTTAGTAAGATGTTTCGCACATAAAATAAACATTGAAAATGCTTTTATAGAAAATCAAACCAAGTTTTATTTGCTTGCTAACAGACTGTAGTAAGAACATAAGTTATGAACATGCTATTCAAAATAAACAAGGACTTCTTTAATAATATTATCAGATCAAAGTATCACACCTAGCAAAATCTTAGCAGGTCAAAGCCGTTAGAGTAAAAAAAAACTATATTCCTTTTGAAGAAGTATAAATTATAAATACAGAATATATTAACAGAATATTACATAAGAACGTATGTATAAAATAGATTTATTATACACAGTTCATATACTAATGGTTTACTCAGAATATTAAATTATAATCTGCATGTTTTTCAAGTTCTAGAAGGAAACATTTTGGTAGTGAATATAGACATTTGTTAAAATGCTCGTATTTCTAAATGACATTGAGAGATATTTTAAAACAGTAATTTGGGAATTTAAGGTAAATATAGTTTAGGAAGTGTATCCAAACTTCAAAATTATTTCTTTAAAATGAATATCAGTTTGCCATCAAAGCATCTTTACAGAAAATGAAATAAGCATTTTCAACGAGACACAATAAGAGGAGTTAAAATGTCTAAAAGCTCTCTGTTCATAGAATATAATGAGCCTATGCATTTCAAAGAACACTGAAGGCGATCAGACAAAATAAAAATATTCCCTAAAATCAGAAGACAAAGACATATAGTTCAAACGTAACTTGTTTCAGTTTATTCTTTGCTTTGCTTTAATGCATATATTGTAAGCTTCTCCGATCTGAAAATAGAATAGAAAGCGAGGCCTAACGTAAAAAAGTGAACCGCATAGGATGTGTAAGTAAAGCAACGTATTTCACAAGAGCTGATTTTTATGCCGTGTGTACTTTACCTTTCTCAACAGTATCACTTGTTTTGGAGAACATTTTAGTAACATTTTGCATTTTGTGTGCATACAAACACATATTTTGTGTATTAAATATTTACAATGCATTTTATGTACATAATACATCTCCCTACGCCAACACTAAATTATTTGACAACAGCAAAGATAAAATGTCTCCAAAGAGAGAATGAATGCAGTAGCTCCTTTCTTCTTTTAAAAATGTAACTGAATGAGGTAATATTAATAGTATTTCAAAGCACGGAATATCTCTAATTTGCCTACCTGCTTATTTAGAGATGGTAAAATGTATTTTGCCTTTTTGAAAAGAACATCAATTCAAAGAATTATGAAATTCTGTCTCGTAAGAGTAGACCTTACATTTAATCTTTGGATGATTCTTCCAGTTCAACTCAACTGACTCCATTTTTATCAGTTCTATTTTTAAGGATAATACAGAATTTACTATAGCAACCTAAACCCAAGTAGTTTTCTCACTTTCTTTCTTGAACTAAATCAAACCCATAGAGCCCTCTATTGGAGAGATTTCAGATTGCATTGTGTTGCCTTTATTTGGAGCACAGCGAATGTTTGGAATATTCACCTTTTTAATTGTATGCTAACAATTATTTTTTAGAAGGCATCAGACACTAGGTTACACGTGACCTCCCAACACAACAAAAAATGTTTTGTGCCAAAATAATAAAATAATAAGCACATGGTGCCTTTATTCCAGAAACTCCAATCTGTGTTGCATTAGTTCGGGGAACGATGTTAAACTAGCAGAGTCTATGGCACTGCAGTCATCAGTCAGTAAAACACTTGGATGCTGTTTTCACAAAAGGGAATTAATACAGGCATCCTTGGGTGTGGCCTGTAGGAATGGCCAGGAGACAAAAGATATACCCATTTGACAAGTAATCATTTAAATGGGTTCTAGGAGCTTTTAAAGTATTAAAATATTTATACATTCATTTGCAACAACAATAGTTTCCTATATTTAAAAAGAGACATAATCCAAAGAGAAGATTTCTGAACTTTTAAGGATTATTTTGTAAAGATATGAGGTCTTTTGTTGAGCCCATTTGTCATGACCAACTCCAGGAGGAAGGGTGTCTTGCGCACCAGCCTTTCCTGGACATCTCGGGGCTCCTATAGGTGCCAAGCAACCCTCTGGGCCTCTTTCAGATCTCTTCCACTTCTCCAGACTCCTGTTTGGTTTCCACAGTGGCAGGTTTTCTCTCCCTCCCCTCCACGCTTAGGGCTGCTACCCTGAGCGGTACCCTCATCTTCTCAGAGCACAAGTCTTGCTGATGCAACACAGTGCTGCTCCCCCTAACAGAGGCACGACACATTTAGCTTCATCTTTTATAAAACTCAGTGGGGCTCGACCAGCTAATGGAATGACTCTCATGGATAATGTGGCTGACTTCTTGGCTGGGTCAAGAAGCATCTTAGTTGGCATGGAGAAACTAATATTTTAATGCATTGTCTTCGTGAAATTTCCCTCTCACTGCACCTGGCAGGCTGCCAGAGTTGGAAAACCCTAAAGGGTTACCCAACAATTTGTAGAATTCTCACTCAGATGAAAAGGTACATTTTAGTATTTTTGCCAAATTTTGGTGGGTCGTCCATCTTGAAAAAATTTTAAAACAAGTATGTGCACATCAGCTTGTCTTCTACCAAGGACCTTGAGCTTCTGTGATTTAGGCAAAAATAAGTCAACCTACTTATCATCTCAAAAAAAAAAAGTCTTTTTGCTAGCCCCAGGAAAAGGGCACTAGGTCTTTTTTTTTTTGGAAGACTCAATTATCCCCAATTATTTAAGAAGATAAGAAGATATCAGAAAGGAGGCTTTAGAAACCTTCTCCACATGAAAGGAAATGCTGATCTTCTTACCCCTAAGCTAAACTGAAGCTTTTCTTTAATACTTATCCAAGCATACCTAGTCTCCAATAAAACTGCTTGAAAGTTTATATAATACATATCTGTTTATATAATATACATATACATATTTTGAGAGAGTGAAGGAAGAAACGTAAGCCAGGGGAACAAAGCCTAGGTAGGCATGAAAGTAAGCAACTCCCCGTACGTCCAAAATTGGGGAAGAATTTGGGAGTGAGCTCAAAAAAATCAAGACCATTGCTCTGCTTTATCCTTCTTCCTTTGGCTTTCAGGGGAATCTGCATGGAGTAACTCTTGTGTGCATTCGCTACAAGCATTTATGTACATTATCTCATTCTGTAAAGAGAAGGAGAATAAGACGATTCGACATTGGTAAATACAGGTAAAACCAATCCAAGGCATTTGAGACAATTAAATTGGGGTGATGAAGGTCAAAAGAGTTGAACAGCATTTCAAAAATAATTCCAAGACCATAGAATTAGAAATGGGCTTTGGAGAGAAGGCCAGTTTTCCTAAACTTGAATTCATTTGCATGATTCTCAAGAATTTTCTTTAGTAACTGCAAGATAAGGATTCCAGCTATGCAGAGAATTGTACTCACAATTCTAACCAAATGAAGGAGCAAAATCTTCAACGAAAATAAAACGCAAAGGATCTTTTTATATCCATCAGATGGTTCTGGCCACTTGGCCTCAAATTCCTGAGCTCCGAGCACAGCACCTAGGAAAGGCATATTTCCCTGGTGAGCAGACTCACCCCTGCTGTCTTGCAGGTGATGAAGGAGTGTGTCCACGGCCAGCATTCAGCACAGGCCAAGCCACCGCAGCAATTCGACCTACATCCGCATCTTCACACACTTGGCCACCACTGTGATCTAGAGCTCATATTCTGAACTGTGGATCTAGATTAATCCTGTAGAATGAGTCTCTACATGTTCCGCATGCATTCTTTTCGTTGTTTTTTTTTAACTGATTAGATTTCCTTGGTTGACTTTTAGCCTAAGAAGCAAGTAGAGACATGGTTCTGTCGTTGGCATCTTCGCACCTGACCGTCCTCGTTTCAAGAAACAACACTGTCTTTGGAAGATAAAGTAAGTAGTTAAAGAATAGTGTCTCTTTTGGGACACACATTAAATGTGTGTATGTGAGAAAGCATCACATGCTGAAAAGCAATGCACTTAATACCATCTCAAACTTTTGCTCCTGAGGAGCAAAGACTGCTTATGAATGACTAAAATGAGAGTCGCCAGGCCTTCTAAAAAAAAAAAGTGATTGCCAGGAGTATGCACTGAGTGTCTTCCTGAAAATGTTTTGAGAATAAAATCTCAACCGACCATAGTAGTATCGGAGCATCTGATAGTAATATCTCCCTGTCTTTGCACCAGCTGACAAAGGTGAGCATTTGGATTGTCTATATTAATAGGATTTTGCAAATATATATTTTAGCTTCTTATTTAATTCATGGAAAAAGAAAGATTTTTCGTACACATAGGTATTTTCAGGGTCTTCTAAAATCAGTTTCAGGATTGGAGGAATTACCTGGGTCTTTCAGTGAACATATTTAGTAAAATAACTTGAGCACACATCAAACCATCAACAAGATGTATAATACTATGAGTTTCAATAGGCTGAATTACAGCAAATTAGATCAAATTTGATAAATTTGACAAAATGAGATAAAAAGCAAAAAATCCATTTTGAAAATTTTCTTAAAATCATCACCTTAGAAATTCCTTCATACAAGAAAAAATCACCCTGAAGATTTGTTTTTTTCTTGTACTGATGAGTAAAAGGGCATTCAATATGGAACCCAAATTTTGCATGGCAACCAGATAAATCTCTAAAAGTGAGTCAAATTTAGGTCCTAGTATTTTCCAAGTTTGTCTACACAAATATCTAAGGAGAGCGTTACAACTTAAGTTCCTTCCCTGTCTTTGTGGGCTCCAAATCAAAACAAAACAGTAGTTGTTCCAAGAAACATGCCAATCACTAACAGTCACTAACAGAATTCTAGAAAGAGCTGGGGGTAACCCTCCTCCACCGATGATACATGAGGGGCTCCTGATGCCAGCTCTCTATGGGTTGTGTTAATAGTCCTTGGAGGCTGGGTTGATGTTAATTGGAAACATCTTCATGTTAAGCACTAAACTTTCATCCAGCAGCTGCACATTCCATAATTTTCTAAATTTCAGGAAAAAAAGCAAATACATCTTTGGCAGTTAAGCTATTGGGAGAAATATGTCTATGTATATGACAGCAAGGGTTTTAAAGTGGGGACGCATACTGGGGCCAATCTTCCTGCCTGTAAGCCCTCTCTCTCTCTCCCCCTCTCTCTGTCTCCAAGCCATTCTGGCATTTTATCAAGTATGTCTCCGTTAAAATGCTTTATTTATCCATTCACTCCTCTCTTTACAACCTTCAGTGATGTGAGGTCAAGGGCAGAATGCTCGGCTCAGTGTTTAACCTCAGGTTGCCAGATCAAATGTGGGATGCCTAGATAACTTTGAATTTCAGATAAACAACAAACGTTTTTTAGAAGTGTGGAGTATTTGGTAAATAAATAAAATTATTTGTTGTTTATCTGAAATTCACATTCAACTGGGCATCCTAAATTTGTATTTGCTCAGTCTGGCATAAACACTGATTCCAACACTTCTGGTCAGCTCCATTTCCTGGTGCTGCAGAGCTAACCCCTCGCTCCAGCTAAACTAGGAAGTTCTCCCACACACCTGCCCTTCCCCGACTCCACTTATTTCTTCAGTGTTGCTTCTGCCCATCATGCCCTCCTCCAATCTATAAAAACTCTACTCATCTTGAAGACCTAGTTCAAACCGCATCATTTCCATAAACTCTTACCTGATTGGTCCAGAGTGAATTCTTACAACACATGGTCTTTCCTATTAATTCGTCAGTTGTCTCTGCCTTATAGTTTATCTCTCATTGGGACATTTCAAACTTCATTTAAAACCTGGATCAGATCTTAACTTTTCTCACACTGGGGCTAACGGGCCTCAAACAGTTGATAAGCCCCATGAGGCCGAGTTGCCGTTTATCATGTACATTTGCGTACTGACCCCAGAACGCTTCCTTGAGTTGAGTGTACTTTCAGGAAGAGAAGCAGAGGTGAATACAGATGCTAGGAGGGGTTTACTATGGACTAGAAGTTGTATGTGTTATTGGCATCACCCCTAGAACATATTGGCATCATCTTCTCTTGGAAGAAACCCAGGCCCTCAGAAGGGTTAGGCGTCTTGCACAAGGTCACAGTCACAGAGGCCGAATCTGAACCCAGGTCTGACTCTTGAGTGAACGCCACGCCTCTGCTTCCATGAATGCTGCTGTCATTGGATGCTGCTGCTACAGCTGCCACGACTACGTTTTCAGTGCTGGATTGGAAAGCTTAGGAAACGAAAAATCGAGGCAGGGAAGCTGAGGTCAAGTAGGCAACTAAGGAACTTTGTAGGAAGCACAGTTTGCAGCTGGGGCGGACTCCACCATCCTGGGAAAAGCAAGAACAGCTGGGGCAGCAGAAGAGAAAACCCCACTGCATGGGGTGAAGAAAATTAAGTGGAACAGAAGCAGAGCTGACTCCACATTTCCTGGTAACTGAATGTTTGCAAGCGCACAGCGGTACAGAGCCAGCCCAGGCAGAGAGGAGAGTCCCCGGCTCTCCCCGGCGTGGCTGAAGCACTTTGGGTGTTGCCGCATAACACGGCTGGTTGAGGAAGGGAGGAAAGAGGAGAAGTAGCAGACAAAAACCCAAACTGAATTCCCAACAGAAAGTAAGCATCTATGTGCAGTAATTGCCTGGAGGTCAGTAGATTCTTAAAAAGCACGAAAGCTCCCTAAAGGTCAGTGAACATTTTAAAAAATTTCAGTGCACACTGATGCATCATTGCATGCTTTGCTATTTTTTAGCTCCAAGCTCAGCAAGGGAGAAATGTGGTGATTCTAGGGTCTGGGAGCCTCACCCTGCCCTATGGAAAATACCATCTACTGGATGTACCATCACCCTTATCTAGGAAGGCTTATCTAGTGATAAATTTCATTTATGCCTCCCTGCTGTTCAGAGGCCTCTGCAGTCAGCATGAGTGAGATAAGAATAGAGGGGCTGGATTTTTTCCTCTTGCTTTTGTGGGCTTCTGACACAGAGACCTATCATTTTAACATATTTTGTGTAGTTAAATGTGAATCATTCGGACAAACATTCCAGAGAACATTCACCTGCCCACTTAATAGCTTCGGTAGCTAAGACTAAAAGCAAACTGTGGTTGTCAGGATAAGCAATGATTCCCCCACAATGCCAAAGACATTATTATAAAGTCAAGATCAATAGACATTACAAAGCAGGGTTGCTTTTATTTTCAGCTTTAACCTTTGAGAAAATCAAGGCTTCAGAATATCGAATCAGATCAGCACATCAGTGATTGCAGACACAGATACAATTAGGGCATACAATTAGGGTGCAGCCAAACAATTATAAATCTTTTTTGTGAGGGGCCTTAGTTTCCTTTCCTGAGTGGATACCCGCACAGATAAAACATCTCATTGTAAGGAGCTGATTTTTCTTAACATATATCGCAATGCATTTCTGCTTTACATATGGAAATTAAAAAGTCAGATCGTTTATAACCCTAGATGTTGATTAACTTATTAGTGGTCTAGCCAAGATGAGTGGCCAAAACCGAATTAAATGCATGAGGTATAATTAATGTCAAAAGATGTAAAACCTGTGAAATCTTATCCAGCATCTAGCTGAACAACCCTCTGCAACTGACAAACTCTTGGTGAGCTCCAGACCCCTGTTCAACCATAATGCTGCCATACCCCTACTGAGGGCAACCGGGCTTCTGAAGCACCTATGATCTGGAGTACTTTCCTTCTAAGGTTGTGCTTCTGCCCTCTTCACCATTTGCGAGGGCCGGAAGGTTCAGACTCGGGGGATGGACACAGGATGCTTTGGAAGTAAGGCAGACTGAATAGCAGTGATAGGAAGCTGAGCTCCCTCGATAAATCTCCAGTTTGCTATGTTTTAGAAGCAGGACAAATCCTTCAGGCATTTCAAGGGCATACAGATATACTGAAATACAAAATCTCGCTAATAAATGACAGCAACCGGCCAACCACACTGGCTGGCAAGCAGCCACCAGAAGTGAAACGATTCTCTTTGACCTAAATGGTGAGTCAGGTGCTTTCTTGCTTTCTTGTCCTCTCTCTCTCTCTCTCTCACTCTCTCTCTGTCTCCCCACCTTTCTCTTTCCCTTCTTCCCTCTTCAATGCTAGCACATGTGTGTGTGTGTGAGCATGCACGCATGCGTGCACACGCACACACTCAAATATATGCACCACTAAAATTCTATTATAGAGTCTAAGACCCAGAGAAATCCATTCTTTGTCCTCTTCTAAGTCAAGGTGTGCCCATGGGTTATAAATATCAGAAAAAAAAATATGTCTGCAGGTCTAGGGGCAGGAAGGCCTAGAGAAGCCTGTACTTACTTAATATGCTACCTTCATACACGTGAAGAGGGTAAAAGTAGGGCCTTGAAGTAAAGATGAAAGGCAGCAGCGTTGTTCATCGTAAAGAAGAGCAGGTTAAGAGGTGATCTGATTACTAGTCTCAAGTACACAAGGGGCATTCTTGTGAAAGTGATGGTGATTGATTGCTCTCCGTATTGACAGAGGGCCCAACAGGACGAAATGGGCCTAAAGAAAGAGTCCAGTTAAACGTAAAGGAAAACGGGCTCAACTTCAGGTTGATCAAACACAGAAATGCCTGCTAGGGAGTGTAGGGAGTTTGTTCTTGGAGTTTTGAGAAGAAAATAAGCCCTTATGTTCCTGGTGTCTAAAATTATGCCTGCCCGGAAGACCCTGCCCAGTGCGCACTGATTACGAATTCTAGGTGAACGGTTAGGGAAGGAGAGTGGGAAGTGGGAGTGAAATGCTCTGGGGGATTACATCAGAATGCCTGCAGTATTTAGCATCGATTTGGTACTCCCTTCGTGACACCAAAACCAATCTTGGGAGTGAGCTCCATGTTGTCCCTTGCCTGCCCCATCCGTTTCTTGAAGTCTATCCGTCACTTGGCCACTGA